GAGGAAGGACTAGTGTTGTCCGAAAGCTCTGGTTCTATTTCTGGCTGTTTACTTACGTTTACTTTTTAGCTGTTGCTTATCATTTTTGTATCTCTACTGAGATCCAGCCATTGTTTCCACAGCATTGTTGTTTTCCAGTATTTTGCCTTTTAATCTATATATATAAAATAACGTATATAATTGTTTTTTTCTTGTTATGCTATAACTGTAACCAAATCTAATGGAAGCAACATCATCCTCAATATTAATTATCTAATATAGTACAATTACATTTTTTATGAGTCTTTATGATCACACAATAACACATTTTGACGGTTCCACTCCGTGAAATTAAGGAGCGTTTATTTTGAGTATGCGTATCCATTTTTAACCAAAAAAAATGATAAACGCCTCCCTCCAATAAATTCCCCCTCAAAAACCCTTCTCAATGTGCCGGGGTGTTCATTCAAATAAATACGGTACATTTTATCTATTTTAAATGTTATATTTTGTATATAAGCAAAAACGGATTTGCCGCCAAGTGATTTTTGACCATTCTAAACGATTCCGAGTTTATTTGGTGCCTACCACGGCGTCCAGCGAATACATTAGAGGTGTAAAATGTAAGGTTTAACGCACAAACTGGTGGAGCCTGAAAATATGTCCTGACATATTCCATCCTTGTTGTCAACAAGATTACAAATTTCGTTACAAATGGCCATTTAATATTATAATGATTTACGTTAGTGTTTTTATATAATAATTAGTGTTTTGTAAATAATATTTTATACATTCTGTTTTTAATTTAAATAGTAACAATTACATTTCTATATATATAATGTTCAAATATGTAATTTTCATTTCTCGATCAATCGAATAGTATAACACCTGCAGGATTCTAGATTTCTTTTTTTAAATAAATAGATATGACTGCAGGAACATGTTGTTCACTAGTTATGTTTAAAATTGCACCCTGACTGGGAGAAGCAATATTGATTTAACATTTTTGTTTTTTTAAAACATCATCGGCAACTCCTGAAATGTTAACCAATATGGTATCATGAAGAATCGTATCAAAATAAAACCAATTGTATATCAACGAATTATTTAATTCAAACACTTGCTTGTAATACCAACATTTACTTACATTATGCAGCAAGAGAAAATATTATTTGAAAATGAATTGGGTTGTGTATATAATTCGGTTATATTTGGCTAAAAAAAATGACCATTTTAACAGTCAACATAATTATAGTTTGTTTTTTTTTAAATTGCATGTTTTAATACAGTAAATTCAATAGGTTATTAAAAATAAACAACATTGCAGTGAAGAAAATAAATTTCAATCCAGTTTTTTTTTTGTTTATGGTGTCTGTGTGCACTTAGACAGACTGCGTGTTCGTGAATCTCAAATAGTTGACGAATTAATTCCGAATAGCCTCAATGATAGGGTACTTCAAGCAGATGACGTGGTCATTCGTTTTTCAAAAGACATTATTATCATTACTATACTGAAATTGAATTCTAAAATAAACAATGATTTGTTTCAATTAAAATCGTATAATACCAAGCGAATTGTTTAGAAATAAATCTGTTGTCAACCATTCCTATTTCCAGTCCAGTGGTTGTATGAATTTTTTTTAATAGTTTGGCCTATAGGTTTAATCGGGAGAAATAATAGATTTTAAATTGTGCAAGTAATAATAAGGAAACAAGTGTTATTTCATGCTTCAATAAACGTATAATAACATAATACACTCATAAGTCTACATCTTTTTTATAAGAACCAGAGCAATTTTTCCGAGGTTAAGTGTTCTTATTTTTCGGCCAATTTAAATCAAGCTCAAAATGTTTATTAATGCCTATCTAAACTGGTCGAACGTTTCGTTTGATATATATATATGTATATATATATATATGTATATATATATATTATTTTACACACTTTTTAAAGCTAGACAAATATTATTTCACAGAAAATATACTGTACTGTATTACAAAGGATATCATCATTGTCACACCTACTGTGCCTATGTAAAAATAAGACTAAAATATTTTTTCTAGATTAAAAAAAGAACATAATTATCGCATTTGAAATTTTACCTCAATTTGTTCTTATTTTTGAAAGCAATTTCAGCAGTCCTATGAGTGTTCTTAAAACCCGGGGTTGTAAAATGTGGTTACACACAAATAGGCCTACATGCCAGTGGATTAGTAGCACTAGCTCAGCAGCACAGTTTGATTATGGTAATGACGACAATGATGGTATAATAATATAATACTGTTCTGCAACAAATTAGTTGGTCGTTGCAAAATTTCAATGAGAAGAGTAGTAAAAATGAAAATAACAAATTTTATCACAAACCAAGGGGGCCATTTATACAGCAGGAGTGAGGACCGTTTTATATCTATTTTGTCAATTAGGGCTAAAGTTTACCACCAATCCAACTTTCCCGCGTACCGATTTTTTTTTTGTCCTAATCTTTCTCTCCAAAATAGATTGGGTGACAAGCACCTCGAGGCCGTGGCCAATTAATTCAGTTTCCCAGAATTAAAATGTATGAAACACGAATGTTCCGGGAATGTTCGAAGCATCATTATTTTGTGAAACAAAATGAATTTTACAAACATCATGATAGGCATTTTTTGTATTTTAATAATGTAGGCCTGACTTCTTTGCTATAATCTATGTTATTAATGTTAGACGTTTTGCTAACATTTACAGTGCAGCTCATAATATAAAGAGGTAGAGGCCTACATTCGCGCGAAAATCCTGGGTAACAAGGACGGATTAGTGGGAAAGGCAGCCAATCGTAAGTGACTACAATTTACGTCATTTTTATGTCGTCGTATCGCAAGAAAAATTCAACTCAACTTAACAGTCGCAAGCACTCGTTTTGGACTCTGGATGGAGTTCAACGTCGTAAGTTCAACTTTCGTAAGCGGCTGAAAATTACTGGTTTGTCTGCGGCCCAATACGATCAACGCAAACGTCGTTGACGTCGTCATTATTTCAACTTTGCGTAATCGTAAGAAACGTATGAAACGTAAGAAATTCTGACTTTTACGTCGACAGGAAACCAGGCTTTATCTGCGGCCCAACACGATCAACGCAAACGTCGTTGACGTCGGCATTATTTCAACTCTGCGTAGGAGTCGTAAGAATCGTACGAAACGTATGAAACGTAAGAAAATCTGAACAGGAAACCAGACTTAACATTTCGTAATTTTAAGCATGCAAAAGGCAGGGTATTCACTGTACCGATGAAAAGTAGACCAAATTCCTCTTTTTGTCCGGTTGTTTTTCTAACTCAATTCCTCCGGATCAGGGTTAACACCAAGGTAATCATTTTGCTGCGAAGCAGCCAATTCATATTCTTGACAGCAATTTGACCTCTGAAAGGACATTAATTGTTTGTCAAAAAACAAGAGCCTAGGACGACTGTAAAGCGGAGTTTCCTTCTTTCGTTCTGTCGGGTAAAATCAATTACTTTAGGCGACGTTTGTAGACTAGCCTGGTTTCCTGTCGACGTAAAGTTCAGAATTTCTTACGATTCATACGACTCTTACGACTGTAATACGAGAAGTTGGACAAAAACAGCCGCGTCTTGATCGTGCTGGGCCGCAGACAAAATAAGCCGGTAACGATTCTTACGACAAGTTGAATTTTTCAAGCTCGAACGGCAAAGCCTCTCCTAACTTCGTCACATGCATGTTACGTCAAGTTGAATTTTTCTTTGCGACTGCGATATGGTAGCATTTCTCCCTTCCTATCTAGTTTCCTCATTGAAATAACCTGGCGAAATTCGAGGACAATTTTCACCGTTCGATTTATATTCTAGTCCTGTAGTCACAGTATAAGGGCCTACAAATCTTGATTTGCTAACTTTCTCGTTATCGATTTTGGTGTTTCGTTCTCAAAAATATCAATTAGGCCTATATTGTACTTTGTTTATTTCATTTCACCTATTTAATATTATGTTCTGAACGTACAGAAAAATCTTATCTCCAGATATACATTTTTACAGAAAACATGATTTAAATGTTAAAATTATAAAGTTCGGGTTGTTTAATATAAACAGGAATTAAAATTAAGAATGAAATACACCTGAAAAAATTGTTTATTGAAATTAGCAGAAAATATGCCAAATGGCAATAGGCCTATATATTTTACATTTTATTTATTTATTTATATTATAATGTTTTATATATTATTTTTATATTATAAAAGTTTTTTGTATAATAAATGTAATTAATTAAATCTAATTGCAATCTCAGTCTTG